AACAAATAATTACAGGCAAAAGTACAATGAAGGGTAGGTGTGTGTGTGTGTGTGTGTGTGTGTGTGTGTGTGTGTGTGTTGTTTTTGTTTTTTAATGACTACAGGTCTTTGATCTCAGTGTCAGCTGTATGCATAATCATAAGTAAGGCTACGTTTCAGTCACGGGTATTTTTAGTAAGTCATGGGCAGTAAACAAAAATTCACAGCCTGTGACCTGTCCATGACTTTTACTATACACTCCTAACTAAAACTTGGTCCGGGGGTGCCCCGGCGCTCTGGGGGGTGGGTTGGTGGGGGGGGGTGCTGGGAGGGGGGTGTCCCGGCTCCCCCGCTGGAGCTGAGGGGGACATGGGCAGTAATGGCAGCACACGTCCCAGGACCACTGCTGGTGTTATGGGAGGTGGTGGTGCACAGCCCAGGACCCCCCACTAGTACTGGGAGGAGGGAGGCGGGCGGCGGTGCATGGCCTGTGATCCCCACTGGCACTGGGGGAGAGGGTTGGCCATGCTGTAGGCTCCCTGCCTGGCTCTGACAGGCAGGTCCCTGCAACTCCTAGGGGGAGGGGTGGCCAGGCGGGCTTCATGTGCTGCTCCCGCCACAAGTGCTGGCTCCACAGCTCCCTGGGAACCACAGCCAATGGGAGCTGCTGGGGCAGTGTCTGTGGGCATGGGCAGCATGTGGAGCCCCCTGGTCCCTCTGCCTAGAAGCTGCAGGGACATGCTGGTGAGAGCCAGCGAGCCCCCCCCATACCGAAATAAGTGCCACCCCAACCCCCTGCCCCAGCCCTGAGCCCCTTCCCACACACCCAAGCTGCTGCTGCTGGCTCAGGGGCTACCCGGCTAGGGTAGCCCCTGAGCCAGCTGCACTGTCTACTGCAGAAGTCACAGAGGTCACAGAAAGTCATGGTATCTGTGACTTCCATGACCTCCATGACAGACACGCAGCCTTAATCGTAAGTAATTAAGTGAGATTTACTGTTTATTTTTATTATACCTTTGGATTGTAGTTTCTACGGTATTCTTAAAATCAGTTGGATAGAAAGATTAATTAAGCTCTGTGGGTTTAAAAGATATTACTTAAGTCTCAGCTCATATTAATTGCATTTGACAGGGAGAATATGGTGATCCTGGAGAGACAGGACCGAGAGGGCCACCAGGTCAACGGGGAATTCAGGTTTGTGTTTTATTCTCTCCATGGGCAGTGTGTGGCCAAAAGCTAGTTCTTAATTTATAAATTGCCAATCCTGTCGCTTCTCTCTGTCCTCCTCATATTTGGGTTGCTACATAGACACTTAGAATTAATATAGACATTAATAGCTGGAGTAAAGCACAGAAAGAAAAAACAGATGATTTAAATATAATGCTCTATTTACAGGGAGACAATGGTGCTGATAGATATGGTGAATCAGGAAACAAAGGAGCAAAGGTAAACATGAAAAAGGGGAAAAAATGGAAACTCTTAACTTGTTTTTACATTATTTTAGTGAGAGTGAAAACTGCAGGGGGAAAAAAGAGTTGTTCCATTATCATTTCTGACTGTAAATCCTGCAATCTGATCCACAGACAGACTTCTGCACTCCCTGACTTCGCAGGGGCTCCATAAAAATCCACTGTATGGATCATGTTGTAAGATTAGGGCCATAGGTTGTAAAGTCATTGGGGGTGTGTGTGGTGGGGGGGGGATTGTTGTTTTTATTTGTCTATCAATTGCCGTGTGTGCCTATGGCAACGTATAAACATTAGAAAATAAGTTATAAACTCTTAAAATTAGAGTAAAAGGTAAAAATATAATAGTAGTAATAACCCTAATTATTTATTGGAGCATTATTTTAATGTTGTTGTTGTAACAATATTTTAATGCTGTCCACACTCAGGAAGATATTGTCCCTGCCCTGAAGGGCTTCCAGTCTAAAAAGACAAGCCACAGCTGAAGGGTGCAGGAGAGGGATAGAATCAGATTATATGTCCTTCCGTAGATATATTTTATATAGCTTAGATACATCTTACAGTTAAATAAGTTCACATTTACATATATCATTATTTACAAACCTTCTTTTGAAATGAGAGAAAAAATTCTGCCGCACTAAAACTAATCGGAGAATAGTTCTAATTTATTCCAAGAAATGCTTCCAGTCCCCTCTACTCTGAACTGTGAGGTCTAATATTTTGATATATCAAATCTTTCTGTCATAGCCACAGATGCCTGACAGCCTAGCCAGTGCCCGTTCACTGTACAGTTTCTGTCTGTGTTTAGGAAAAACGAGTAAAGTTATCCTGGAGTATTTCATCTTTGCATTGATAAATTAAAAGGAAGTGACTATGTAATTAGGAGCACATGAATAGCCCAGTAAAGTACAGTGCTTCTTTATATATATTTTAAATGATATACGTCTGAATAAAATAAGGGAGAACAGAACGCTTTTGTCCTGGGTAACTACTGCCAGACTCCCTGAACCTCACCTTAAACTCCCTTCTTCTGGCAAGCCTATCCCACTTTAGTAACATGCTGTCACACCCCTACTGTGCCTCTTGCCATTCCCCCTCCCCAAATACTTCATGTGTTCTAAGGACTTAATCCAGAAAGGTGCTCCCATTGGGAATTTAGGGTAACCGGCACATAGCAGGATTGGGCTCTAAACTTCCTGGTCTGCAGATGTATTTTGGGTGCAATCCAACTCCCATTAAAATCAACGGCAGTCTTTTCATTGACTCAAACAGGAGTTGGATCTGGCCCTTTATGCATCAATTGTATCATTCTGCTTAAATTATAAGCTTCTTGCATCAGGGCAGTGTCGTCTTCTGCATTTTGTCCAATCCATGTTAGCACCTCAAAAAATAATAGATAGCAACAATAATACTGTTTTCCAGCACATTGCCAGTTTCACTGCCTATTATTGGGTTGTGTCTGATTCTGAAAAGTCAAATATAGTAGAAAAAACTGAGTAGAAATATCAATGTGATGATGATTTTATCTTATTTACTGTAAATAACAGGGACAAAAAGGATTCACTGGAGATATTGGACAGAAGGTATCGTACTTCACATTAATGTTGTAGCTTTCTGATCAATAACCTTGAGTCTCCCCTCCATTACACCACTTTTGCACCAACAGAACTCTGCTGCAGTTAAGTTATGTTGGCATAAAATCAAGATAAGAGTGGAGACTTTAGAGATGGAAATAAGTTTCAATGGTAGAATAAAAGAAACATTCTTGATGTTTCATGGGAAGAAAGTTCTGATTTATCTGTCAACATCTGAAATTCTTTGATACTAAAGGGTTAAAACAATTCTTGTCTGGTCACCTTATTGCTTGGAAATTTTAAACAGTTTTTTTAATTTATCAATTTTAATTATAGTGTGTCATTTCTAAGATTGTTGGTGAAGTCAAATCTTACATTTAGAGATGTGCTTAAACCACAAGTTGAGGACTTCAATAGCTCAGACATAGGTCAGGGGTTTGGGTGGGTAAGATTCTGTGGCCTGTGTTGTGCAGGAGGTCAGACTAGAAGATCATAATGGTCCCTTCTGACCTTAAAGTCTATGAGCCTCTGGGACATGATTTCCTAAATATAGGAATAGCTATGTGTTGTGCCTGCTGGTTTAGGAGTATGTGTCCCACTTCTTCCTGTCAGTAACATGGAGCAGGTAGCAGATCATGTCAGCGGTTACAAAGCACAGTTATCCAAAGAAAGTGCTGGAAAAAATCCCCAGATAATATCTTGCACAGCCTTAGGCGCACTCTTGCGTTTTGTCTTATAGTGTTGTATATGAAGCTGTGTGTGATATACATAGTCTATTGAAGCTATGTGTATGAAAAATACACTATTAACTAGACTTTTTTGTTTTCTGCTGTGCATTACATATGAAGTATGACATCAATGTGTTGCGTAAGTGATGGTGGAAAATATGCTGATATCTACATATAGACTAACTAAATTCATTGCCTCATCTCCTGAATTACACAAACATTATTTTTCAACCGGTAATTTATAGTAGTACATGGCTGATTAAATTATTAAAATTACACATTTTGGGGAGATTACCCATTTTGACATATTAAAAGGCTCCAGTTTTTTTAAACGTCAGCCCTAAAAGCAAGTCTGACATGCTCATCCTTAACTATTAGCAGTTCTTTGCAATTGTAAAACCAAACACCAAAAGTCATGTACTGCTGATGTAGCTTCTTTGAGGGAGAATATGTAAAACCAGAAAGAATACATGTCACTTTAAGGTAAAAAGAAAAGTTAGTTATTCCATTCTTTTGTTTTCACTGCAGAATGTGTTTCTGTTGCTATTTTAATTGCTCTAGAGTTGAATCAGGGTGAGGAAAGATGACTTTATGCCACCTTTCTACTCTTCTGATCGGTTGTGTCCGAAGGTAACTAGGAGCAGGCTAAGGGCTACTCTAACGTCTCAATCCTTCTCCCGTTGACTTCAGTGGTTCCAGATTGGTGTTATCCTCTGCTGCACTGACAGGAATAATCTCCTCCGACAGAGATCACCAGAACATGACCATACTCCACCATACATCTTGCGCTCCCCTGACAAACACCCTGTCCTGAAGGACGTAGCTGATATATTGCCAGTTACTTCCACTTTATACCACCAGGGGATTGTCCTGCACTAGGGTTATCGTCCAACAGCCCTATTATGATAGCTCTCCAGCTAGTTGGTTCTCTTTTGAGTTGCTCAAAGGAGCCAGAGAGGGCTGAGTGTCTGGTGCTGGGAGTCTAAATGTAGTAAGGAGATATTTGGTCCACACCAATAATTTTGCACAACTGGGAATTAACACAGTAAAATATTCAGCCTGGTGTGCTGTACTTTATAAACTTTCTCACAGGTAGATGCCAAAATAAACCTGGCACAAAGAGCATTTTGATATATATATTTTTTTAATTTTAGCAGTGCAAAACAGTTTTCAGTGGAAGGACCAATGAAAAATAATGTTAAAGATAAAATGTTCTTACATCTCCTCTGACTCTTATACAGTAATAATATGCAATATGGATCAATTGCTTCATTTAATTAAAACTTAATTAAAATAAAGACGGTATTGGGCCAACATCCAATTGTTATAGAAGGGCCTGAGCTGAAAAATTCAAAACAGGATCTCAGGTTTTGGTTCAGCCCATAGTAGAGATAGAGACCAGCTGTGAAATTTGGATCCTTATCTGGGTTTGGACTATGAACTTGTCTCCTCAAAGTTCAGACATGTTTCAGATCCAGACTTTAGTTTGGGTCCATCTTTAAAAATCAATATATTTCCAAAGCAATTAGGTTAGGGGCAAATTGCCCCTTGCATTGCTGCGGGCACAGAGGCTGTGACCACAGCCAGACCAATAAGGTTTCACTGCACAGGGGCTGTGATAGGATATGGGGAGTGTATGCTGAGGTCTGCATCCCAATACTGAGAAGTCCCTAATAAGTTCTCAAGCAGCATTTTTCTTACTTTGCCTATCTGTAAATGTCTGTTATTGATGGAAATACTTTTTTAATCAGTTTGTGTATGTACAGAGAAATTGACATTTACATATAAAAATCTAATCCTTCCAAGTTATGGAATTTGACGTGGAAGGTAGACTGGGAAGGGGGTGTGGAGGGTCAGTGTTTAGGACCATTATATGTTAACAAAAACCATCAGTGGTAGAGTATTAGCATCCTAAATAGACAAGCACTTCCATATGGAAAGAATAAGAATTTAAATATTCCCCATTGACTCAGCAAAATGTGTATTTTCTGAAAGAATCTTTTGGGGGGGGGGGTGAGCGAGACCACACACAGTGCTACTTGTATATATTTAATTTATGTATATACCTATTTCATATCCGTCTTTGCACTCTTAAAAGTGAGATGTATGAATGGAGGAATAAACAGCAAGCACCATTTCTTGAGTTATTCACATTTTTGTTTTAATGAATATCCATTTTCACATTTTAATTTTGCTGTATCCAATTAATTAGGGTGAAATTGGAGAAACAGGAGTTCCAGGAGAACCTGGACCAAAAGGAATCAGAGGACAAATGGCAAGCACCCTTTTATGAATATTGATTTGTCTTGAGATTGGCTTGTTAATGCAGAAATCACATGTAATTTTTTCTTGCCCGGGTGATAGAAATCTGTTTTAAATGGATATCCTTTAACATGCTGAATGTATGTGTATTACATCTGTTGTAAGCACAATAGTCCAGATCCCGCACTCTGTTGCAGTTGCTTTGTACACCACTAGCACGTCTAAAACTGGTGTAGCCAGCTATGGAAGATCAACCTAGTGCAAGAGGCGGCCTCCAGTGGCCTATAGCTGGATGCCATGTCTGTCTCTTCTTACCAGTGTAATGGGCCACTACCTTGAATGGTCCCTTACAATCTGTGCTAACTACTTATGCTGAACAATCTGTTCCGCCTTGCCTTTTGCTGTGACGCTGGGAGTACCTTTCCCAGACCTGAAAAAGAGCTCAGTGTGGCTTTAAAGCTTGTCTCTCACCAAGAAAATTTGGTCCAATAAAAGATATTCCCTTGCCCACCTTGTCTGTCTTTGGACCTAGAACTAAATAAGCTCATAGACGAGAGGTCCATCAATGGCTATTAGCCAGGATGGGCAGGAATGGTATCCCTAGCCTCTGTTTGCCAGAAGCTGGGAATGGGAGATGGGATGAATTACCTGTTCTGCTCATTCCCTCTGGGGCACTTGGCATTGGCCACTGCCAGAAGACCCAGTACTGGGCTAGATGGACCATTTGCCTGACCCCATGTGGCCGTTCTTTTGTTCTTATGACCAATGGCAACGTGAATAATTTACACTGGAAGACTGGTGTAGCACAGAGCTGGCTCCAAATCAGGGAAACACAACGTCTAATTATTTTATAGAAATCCTGTGGAGGGCTGATGTTATGGGGACGTCAGAGTGGGCGGGGGCATATTTTGTTGCTGTTTTTATTGGCTGAGACATTAACATTTCTTATTGTATTATGCTCCTTATGAATAGTAAGTTTAATTGTTTCAGGGTTGCTAGAGCTCATATAAATGATTTTTTTATATTTTAAATTGTAATTATAAATGAGTTACTTCAGAGTTACTAGTTTGAAAGAGTCTGATAGATGGCCAAGTCTTCTTCATTTAATAGGCCAAGGTAAACAAAACACTTCTTTTGGGGTAATTGTTTCCTGTTTAACTGTGTTTTCAGCTCCTCTGACAAAGGAAGGGCAAAGTCGTAGTAGTACTTTGCATTATAAGTTACCCATGCAAATTGCTAACCTTTTTCAATGCTTGTTTTTGTAGTTATCACACTATATGACTTATTTTTTTCCCTCACTTCAGACTGATCTTGCTCCCTCTGAAATCAGACTTTTGCCTTTTAACTTCAATGGGAGCTGGATTGGGTGCTTGACTTCATTTGGGGGGGGGGGATTGGTACATGTAAATTGTTATTGGTTAAATATTACACATGACATGGTGCCCATTATCCATTAATTTCTAACACAGGGTAAAATTTTCAAAAGCACCTGAGTGATTTAGGAACCTCAGTTCCATTGAACGTCAGTGAAACCTTATACCCCAAAAGAACTTAGAGCCTTATGAAAATTTTGCCAACAGATGTTAGTAAACCAGTAGAGGCAGCATGCCATTGGGGTTATAAATGTATACGTTGTGCTACGGTAGTTTAATTGGTAGCACTTCTGGGCCAGAAGAAGCTTTTCTGAAATACAGTCAGTTCCCTTTTCAAGAGCCAGGTCCTTGGTCATGCTAAGGTCACCGTCTGCTGCTGGAGCTGTGCAATATGACCTTAAAATGGTGTTCAAATGGTGTGCCAGCATGGGAGGAGAACCTTGGACCAACATAGCTAAGAACATAAGAATGGCCATACTGGGTCAGACCAAAGGTCCATCCTATCTACCAACAGTGACCAATGCCAGGTGCCCCAGAGGGAGTGAACCTAACAGGCAATGATCAAGTGATCGATCTCTCTCTCTCTCTCCTGCCATCCATCTCCATCCTCTGACAAACAGAGGCTAGGGACACCATTCCTTACCCATCCTGGTTAATAGCTATTAATGGATTTAACTTCCATGAATTTATCGAGTTCTCTTTTAAACCCTGTTATAGTCCTAGCCTTCACAACCTCCTCAGGCAAGGAGTTCCACAGGTTGACTATGTGCTGCATGAAGAAGAACTTCCTTTTATTTGTTTAAACCTGCTGCCCATTAATTTCATTTGGTGGCCCCTAGTTCTTGTATTATGGGAACAAGGAAATAACTTTTCCTTATCCACTTTCTCCACACCACTCATGATTTTATATACCTCTATCATATCCCCCCTTAGTCTCCTCCTCTTTTTCCAAGCTGAAAAGTCCTAGCCTCTTTAATCTCCTCATATGGGACCTGTTCCAAACCCCTAATCATTTTATTTGCCCTTTTCTGAACTTTTTTTAAATGCCAGTATATCTTTTTTGAGATGAGGAGACCACATCTGTACGCAGTATTCAAGATGTGGGCGTATCATGGATTTATATAAGGGCGATAAGATATTCTCCATCTTATTCTCTATCCCTTTTTTAATGATTCTTAACATCCTGTATGCTTTTTTGACTGCCGCTGCACACTGCGTGGATGTCTTCAGAGAACTATCCACGATAACTCCAAGATCTGTTTCCTGATTAGTTGTAGCTAAATTAGCCCCCATCATATTGTATGTATAGTTGGGGTTATTTTTTCAAATGTGCATTACTTAACATTTATCCACATAAAATTTCATTTGCCATTTTGTTGCCCAATCACTTAGTTTTGTGAGATCTTTTTGAAGTTCATCACAGTCTGCTTTGGTCTTAACTATCTTGAGCAGTTTAGTATCATCGGCAAACTTTGCCACCTCACTGTTTACTCCTTTCTTCAGATCATTTATGAATAAGTTGAATGGCATTGGTCCTAGAACTGATCCTTGGGGAACACCACTAGTTACCCCTCTCCATTCTGAAAATTTACCATTTATTCCTGCCCTTTGTTCCCTGTCTTTTTAACCAGTTCTCAATCCATGAAAGGATCTTCCCTCTTATCCCATGACAACTTAATTTACGTAAGAGCCTTTGGTGAGGGACCTTTCTGGAAATCTAAGTACACTATGTCCACTGGATCCCTCTTGTCCACGTGTGTGTTGACCCCTTCAAAGAACTCTAATAGATTAGTAAGACATGATTTCTCTTTACAGAAACCATATTAACTTGTTGGGTAAAAGTCATGTTCTTCTATGTGTCTGACAATTTTATTCTTTACTATTGTTTCCACTAATTGCCCAGTACTGACGTTAGACTTACTGGTCTGTAATTGCTGGGATCACCTCTTGAGCCCTTTTTAAATATTGGCGTTACATTAGGTATCTTCCAGTCACTGGGTACAGAAGCTGATTTAAAGGACAGGTTACAAACGATAGTTAATAGTTCCGCAATTTCACATTTGAATTCTTTCAGAACTCTTGGGTGAATGCCATCTGGTCCTGGGGACTTGTTACTGTCAAGTTTATCAATTAATTCCAAAACCACCTCTAGTGACACTTCAATCTGTGATAGTTCCTCAGATTTGTCACCTACAAAGGACAGGTCAGGTTTGGGAATCTCCCTAACATCCTCAGCCATGAAGATTAAAGCAAAGAATTCATTTAGTTTCTCTGCAATGACTTTATTGTCTTTAAGTGCTCCTTTTGTATCTCGATTGTCCAGGGGCCCCACTGGTTGTTTAGCAGGTTTCCTGCTTCTGATGTAATTAAACATTTTATTATTATTTTTTGAGTTTTTAGCTAACTGTTCTTCAAACTCCTTTTTGGCATTTCTTATTACATTTTTACACTTAATTTGGCAGTGTTTATGCTCCTTTCTATTTACCTCAGTAGGATTTGACTTCCACTTTTTAGAAGATGCCTTTTTATTTCTCACTGCTTCTTTTATATGGTTGTTAAGCCACGGTGGCTTTTTTTTTTTTTTTTTT